ATTCGCGATCGATTTTGTACGCTACTGACCACGCAAAAGCTTGATGTCGTGCCAGTATTTTGCTTGTTTGAACGACGGAAACGGCTCCAGTTCAATGTAGAACAGCTCAAAAAGTTAAAGGGCGGCGGATTTAAATGGGCAGATGCGAGCGTTTATGCTGCGCATGTACCCTACATGCTGCATTTCTCCATACGTATTTAGCAGTACGAGTGCCGTACCAAGATAGAAACCTTCTCGATCAAGTTTTTGAGAGAATATGTCTGCAAACTACAATTCAGGGACAATTTCACCCCGCAGCAACCCAAAATGTGACAGAAGGAAAGCAGCTCGACCATGCAAGTCGTCCAGTACGAAAACAGTATCACTAATCTGCTAAAATTGAGCGTTCGCTAAATAACCATCAAGTAAGTACCAACACATGTCCAGATATCTTTTCCTTCTGGTTTCCGTAGTCTGAGCCTGTTCATTTTTGATTAACTGTTTCACGGTGTTGTGTCGCTTCCAATAAAAATGTAGAAGTAGTTTATGTATTGAGCTTTTAATCGCTAACCCTACTCACTCTGTTTCCTCATGTCTGGTCTCCGGAAGAAATTGTCCGCTGCACCATCGTTGTGTTGCCGCTGCACACCGCTAGAGTACTGGTGTTGGTGGGCACAACCCCAACAACATAAACAATCTGTAGATAACGCTACAACACTTCCCTCTCCGGAGATTCAGTTCATATACACGCGATTTGCCGTTGAGTCGCTTTCTGGGATCCTTGGCAGCCTTGCTAGGCAATGCGAAACGTTTTTCGAAGCGCTCGCACCACTGGCTGCTTTCCATGTCCTTTAATGAACGTCTTCACGGTCGCAGGAACGTCCTGTAACAGCACATTTGCTGGCTCCCAGGAGCCTTCCACAGCATCGAGACCGCGCCAATGAACTTTAATCTCGTAGCGCTTTTCTTGCTGATTGTTGCGAGCCTCTAGTAAAGTATCAACCACATGCCTCTCGCTGTTATGAGCAACATGCAGCAATAGATCCTCCGACACATCGAGAGAGGAATCCGCATAGAACTTTAGACGACTCGCGTGGGCCTCTTTGCATTGCCCCGTGATTAAGTTCTGGATCTTGAAGATCCAATTCGACACTGTGTCTACCACCCGTGCCGGGCCGCACCACTTTACACGCAACTTGCTGCCTGTATGTTGCCAAACATTCGCGTAAAGAACAAAATCACCGACATCAAATTGGGCCATGGTAGTGCCTTGTTTTTTGTCGTGACCTTTTCGTCCAGCGGCTCTGGTGGCAGCATTCGCCTGTTTGTTACTTTTGTGCATACGCTCTAGAGCTTGCTGTAGTTTGGCGACATTCTCCCGTTGCACATTCTGTATCGTGTCTGGGCCCAGAACCACAATGTGATCGCTCGGCCCCATCGCCTTTAAACCGGTCATTGCCGTAGCAGGCGCCACGCTGCCAAGAGCTGGAGATGGCGAGTTATTCAGCACCATTTGCACAATCTTGATCGCTTGCGGCCATTCATTCGGTTGCAATCTCCATTCCGATAAAAGTGCTCGGCAACAGCGCAATCTCTCTCTCATTACCACATCCACGGTACCATTCGCCCACGGACAGCGGGCGGTGGTAAAATGATGATGCGCTCCGAGCGCATGTTGAAGCGCCTCAATGGTTCCGTTCTTAAAGTGGGCCCCCTGGTCACTTATCCAGGTCCGACACACCCCAAAGCAAGCGAACCAGTCGAGCAAAGCATTAAAAGTGATGTCCGCATCAGCCGCCTTGCACGGGACAAGCCAAACAAACTTAGAGGCATCGCCCTTGCTAACTAGCACGTACGTCTGCTCCGTGTCACTGTTTCCCATGTAGAAAAAGGCCCAGTGTAGTAGTTCGTTTGGACGTTCGGCATGCATTGCCTCACCCAGCACACGTTGCTGAGGTGGTCCTCCGAGAGTGCTTGCGCAGTGCAAACAACGCTGGACAAAGTGCTCCACGTCTTGATTCATAGTCTTCCCAACAAAACGTTCATTAATTTGCTTCAAAGTCACCCCACTGTCTGTGTGTTCCGCAATGCCGAAATGACCCACCACACACACCCGAACTTGTAGGTCCGTCGCCTCATTAGGGATCCAGATCCTACCCTTCTTGTCTCTCCAAAGGGAACCCCCCTTTGATTTAATATATCCCGATGGTCGTGTCCATTCTTTCTGTGCCGCAATAGTAGCTGACGAGGTCGGCCAATTAAACTTTTCATCAAGATAGTCTTACCCACCCCCGTTACGAGAGCAAATCTTGAATGCACAGACAATTTTTCACATGCTTGATATCGAGCATGTTAAAAAAAGTCCTAACGTAAAATTTGTATAGGAAAAAAAGATCGGTGTCTGCATATTTGTACAAGATCCTGCAATCGTACGTATTATGGACGCGGGAATGTAATGAACATCTGTGCGACTACATAAACAGGCTGAATGGCTACGCTCGGACCGCCCGTCTACATTTCGAGAAGAGTGGTCGTGACGCGAAAGAACACGTACAGCAGTTCCTGGCAACATGCGATGATGACAAACTAGCGGAGAGTCTCTACCACGCTCGAGTCGCCGACATTCACGAGCTCGAAGCGATCATCGAAGATGTTCTCAAGGGCAAGGAGAGAATGGCCAAGCGACAGTCGGTAAGTTTTTTTTTTTTAAATGAAAATCGCTAATTATTTATATTTTTCTCAGCCATGTTGGTTTACAACCGAGCTGCCAACAGAGATGTACTGCTCAGTTTGGCCAAACTCAACAAACCGAAGGCCGTTTACACGGCTAACACCATTGCAACACGCTAC